TTAGGCCCAAAATGTCACGGATGTGTCCTTTTTTTGTAGTGATAAACGAGACTATCTTGGTATTAATACCAAAGGTAAAAAAATCCCATGATGCTTACACAGCTCCGGCCTATTTCTTTATGCAATGTACTATACAAAATTGCCTCCAAAGTAATCTCCAATAGGTTGAAGTTGGTGCTACCTGAAATCATATTAGAGGAGCCATCGGCGTTTGTACCAGGCAAACATATTACTGACAACATTATTGCAGCATATGAATGTCTTCATTTTATGAAGGGAAACAGGGCAAAGAGGAACAACCATTGTGCGTTAAAACTTGACATGATGAAGGCTTATGATAGGGTTGACGGGGATTATTTACAAGCAATTATGTTAAAGCTGGGTTTCACAGAGAGATGGGTAAATATTGTGATGGGAATGGTCAAATCAGTAAAATTCTCAGTCCTTTTCAATGGCGAGAAACTTGATGAGTTCAGTCCTTCACGAGGAATTCGACAGGGAGATCCAATCTCCCCATACCTCTTCCTAATTAAAGCAGAGGGCCTTTTCTGCCTCCTAAAATCTTTTGATAAGTCGTCCAGCTTGAGCGGGTTAAAGGTGGCACCGCTGGCACCACCTGTTAACCATTTATTATTCGCTAACGACAGCCTGCTATTTTTTAAGGCTAGTGGTGATGGGGCCAGAGAGGTGAACCAGATGTTGAACATATATTGTCAGGCTTCGGGACAGAGAATAAACTACTGAAAATCCTCAATCTTTTTTAGTAAGGGCTGCGCAAACCGTGTCAAAAGAAGAGATCAAGAAGTCTTACAGGTTCCCAATGAAACTCTCAATGAGAAATACTTGGGAATGCCCTCTAGTGTGGGATCATCAAAGAACGACGCTTTTAACTACCTTAAAGATTACCTCTAGAGTAAAGTTCAAGGGTGGATCAAGCATACAATGTCTTCGGCAGAGAAGGAAGTACTGGTTAAGGTAGTAGCTCAGGCGGTTCCCGTCTTCTCTATGTCATGTTTCAGGCTGCCTAGGGGCCTCTGTGAAACTTAAACATGTTTAATCAGAAACTTTTGGTGGGGGAGCAAAGATGGAAAACGAAAACCGCATTGGGTGTCCTGGGAAGCAATGACACAGCCAAAGATGATGGGGGGCTCGGCTTTAAAGATTTTGAATTGTTCAACTTATCTCGGCAAAACAAGCCTGGAGATTACTACAATCTTCTGAGTCCTTGAGTGGTCGTATCCTAAAAGTTGTATATTACCCTGGGATCTTAGATTCCCAATTGGGAAGCAGACCCAGTCAGGTATGGAGATCGATAGTGGATGGAAGAGATGTGCTCAAACAAGGCATCATCAGACGCACTGGTGATGGAAGAACGACCAAAATTTGGTCTGATAATTGGATTCCGCGGGATGAGATGCTTTGACCCTATGACTGTATCACACAGGACCCTCCTGAGCTCGTATCGGAACTGATAGACCACACAACAGCCACATGGGATATGGATAAACTTTCTGCAATGTTCCTAACTATCGATGTGCCGGCTACAAGATCAATACTGTTATGTACAAGGATCATCTCTAACTCCTGGGCGTGGCACTTTGAGAGAAGCAGTCAGTTCACTGTGAAGTCATGCTACAGGATGCTGGTAGAGACCAAGAGGAGAAGAGAAGCTTGGTTGGAAGGAGATGCTGGATCGTCAAGCATTGATCGTGACAAGACATCCTGGAAGCAGCTATGGCAAACACCGGTACCAGGTAAAATCAGGATGTTTTTATGGTGTCTTGCTAAGCAATCATTGCCAACCGAGGATGTCCGAGCTCATCGAAAAATGTCCACCACAACATCCTGCGGCCTCTGTGGAGCGGCGGACTCATGGCGAGCATCTGTGACAGCCTTCAGAACCTAGTGCTAGACAATGGCTTTTCCTGATGAAAGACTCGCTCATGTTGCATTTGTCAAGCTTTCGATCACGTTGTGGGCCATTTGGTGGGCGAGGAGACAAGCCATTCATGAGCAGATCTACCAGAGTCCATCAGCCACATATTAGGTTATATGTAGGTTTATCTAGGAACTTGATATGCTGAAACCAGAGAAGAAAGCAACTAGCCAGAGAGGGTAACGACTACAGGTCAGACCAAAAGCTCCACCACCAGGGGTAGCTAAAGTCCACACGGATGCGGCAATGGCAAGATCTCATGTGGGTGGAGCTTGTGTAGTGGTCTGCAGAGATGCGAACGGCAACTTCTTGGGAAGCTCTGCTCTGGTGATACACGACATCACAAGTGTAGCGGCAATGGAGGCAATAGCCATCAGGGAGGGATTGGCGCTGCCCGATGATCTACACCTACAAGACATCATCATTGCTTCAGACACGAAGCAAGTCGTTTGAGATATCAACTCAGGGACGGAAGGGTGTATGGGTCGATAATCAGAGAGATTTCCTATCGTGCTTCTTTGATTAATTGTAAAATTACTTTCGAAGGTAGAGATGCAAATGTAGATGCTGATAGACTGGCTAAATTCTCTTACTCGCTCGATCAGGGGCGACATGTTTGGCTGCTCCACCCTCATGGTCCTTTTTGTATCCCACATCATGTGGTTTTTGAGTAATAAAGATGGGAGCTCCTATAAGGCGCTTAAGCGCCGGTTCAGCCAACTAGCGCCCCTTGTGGGCCGGCCTAGGAACAACCAGCGGATTTGTAGCGTGAAAAACGTCCAAAAAAAAATCCACTGAGGATTTGAGCTCACACCAACTAGTTACGGTGCACACAACCTTACCGCTCGAGCTACATTAAGCTGGTGAAAGAATGCATCGCGGAATATTTAAAACGTAGCCGTGCTATTTCTTGCACATACATTTCAGAAAAAATCGTTTAAAAAAAATCACGAACTAGGAAAAAAAATCATCGAATTTTTAAAAAGTTCATAAAATTTGAAAGAAAATTCATCCAATTTGAAAAAAGTTCATTGAACTTGAAGAAAAGTTCACCAAATTTAAAAAAAGTTCATAAAATTTGAAAAAAGTTCAACGAATTTGGAAAAAGTTCATCGAAGTTCGAAAAAAGCTCATCGAATTTCCAAAAAAGTTCATTGAACTTGAAGAAAAGTTCATCAAATTTAAAAAAAGTTCGTCAAATTTGAAAAAACTTCAACGAATTTGGAAAAAGTTCATCGAAGTTCGAAAAAAGTTCATCGAATTTCCAGAAAAGTTCATCGAATTCAAAAAAATCATCAAATTCGGGAAAATGTTCATCAATATTGAAAAAAGTTCATCGATTTTGTTAGAAGTTCATTCATTTTGAATAAGTTCACTCAATTGTGCAAAAGAAAAAAAGAAAAAGAAAAAGTTCATCGATTTGAAAAAAGGTCATAGAAATTGAAAAAAAATCATCAAATTTGAAAAGAGTTCATAGAATTTAAAAGTAATTGATATAATTTGAAAAATAGTTCATCAAATTTGAAAAAGGTTCATGAAATTCAAAAAATAGTTCACTAGTTGAAGAAATAGTTCATTGAATTTAAAAAGTTTCTGCATTTTTGAAAAATATAAAAGAAAAAGGAAAGAAATAGAAAAAGAACAACAAAATTGAAAATAGAAACAAGAAAAAAAACAAAAAAGGGGAACGATAGGAAGTGAACACACGACGTGTTCTGTCCCAGGTGGTTTGTGGAGCTCCTCTCTACCGAAGATATCGGCGTTCGATTCCCTCGCGTGCTCCTTTTTTCCCCAGTTTTAACAGAAACAGAAAAAAGGCACGTGGGCCGGCCCAGCGAGGAAGGGCTGCAGGCGCCCGTTTGCAAAAACACTACTAATGGGCGCCTGCAGCGCTAAATAGGAAATGCCAATAAAAGCTAGTCTTTCCCCCTAAAAAAAGAAACTGCACAGGAACAGTAATTGGGCCAACGCCGAAATTGGGCTACTAAACAGAGGCTGGTCTGTCTCAAAAAAAAAAGAGGCTGGTGGCACACCGCGAGGATGGACGAGACGCAGCAAGTAAAAAACGTTCATTGTTTGTGCTGTCCACAGCGAGCCGCGCTCGGCATGGCATGGCACTGGCAGGCATCCAGCCGTTTCCTCCGTGCGGCGGCCGACGGCGACGGGCCTCCCCCCTCACGGCACGATGGGGCGGGTGGTGCGGTACACCGGCCCGTCCGGCACGGCTACGTATACGTACGACAATCCGCGGCAAGCTGGCGAAGAACCGGGCCCCGGATGACAGACAGGGCGTTGCCGTTTCGTAGCTCATCCATTGGTGGAAGTCGCCGTCTCGCCAGGCTCCGCGCTCCACTCCACGAGGTCGGTCCTCGAGGCCTCCGTGCGAGTCGCCGTCGTCGCTCCCTCCCCACTCCGCTAGGTCCTCGAGGCGCATTAACAATTCTAACACGTTCAAGTCAACACACCGGATCGTTCAGCTCAGCCGATCGGTCCAGGTAGATCGGTCAGATGGCTTAACCCGGCCTACTCCCATCGAACCGAATCGAACGACCCACTCGCCACGCCGGACCCCCCACCTACGCGAACCAAACTCGCAGTAGGAAGCATATCCTCAAATGCAAATACTACGGTTTAATTGCGTATATTTTATTGCCTATCTATCTATCCATTAATTGGAAAAGGAGGCGAGTTATAATACTACCAAAATCTGGTATGAACCGGTGACTCATCAAAGCAAAGATAAGCATCACATTTATCCTACGTTTCCATATACTAGTAACCTGCCTCCAAAAAAAAAAAAACAGCCTGATCTCCCGAGGCGACGACACGAAACGGTTGCAGCTGCACCAAACCCAGCCCGACCCGGCCGGCCTTTACTCCACCACCACAGTATCAGTACCGCACCCATCCATCCTCCTCTCCTGCAAAACCAAAGGCCAGACCCAGACCAGACCGCTCACGCCGCACCGCACGCGCTGCACGGGCACCCAACACAAGCCCTTCTCCGATCGTGCTCGCTCGCCGCCGGTACTAGTCTAGTAGAGCAGCGGGGAGGAGCTCCGAGATGAGGGCGCCGCGGAGGCCGATGGCGGTGGTGCTGAGCTGGGTGCGGAGGCAGCCGCCCAAGGTCAAGGCCTTCCTCGCCGTCGTCGCGGGCATGACCGCGCTCGTCTTCATCCGCTTCATCGTCCACGACCACGACAACCTCTTCGTCGCCGCCGAGGCCGCGCACGCGCTCGGCATCGCCGTGCTCATCTACAAGCTCACCAAGGAGAAGACCTGCGCTGGTTCGTTCTCTTCTCTTCTCTTCTCTTGCCCCCCTTTTCCCAAAGCTATCCTCTCGATCCGTCCAGCTAGCTTGACTTTACCGCGGTCTGATCTGATTTTTCCAAAGTTTCTTCCTTTCTGGGTCACCTTTGCGCTAAAAACATATGGATTTTTTTTCTTTCCCTTTGGAATCATGAACCTGATTTATCCTCGGACCTAGGCACTTCTGTGCTTTTGTGGGTGAGGCATATGAAATTATGAATCCACGGTTTTGCTATGAGAGGTAACTGTTACTTGGGACACTGTCTGCGACTTGCGCTGCGTGGTGCATTGCAAGCCAGTGGAATATTACTACTCCGTACATGCTGATCTGGGGAACGCTGAAATTCTTGTGTGGTCATTTCGCTCGATGTGTGCAAAGTGAGGAAAAAGCATGTGCCTGTTCCATCCAACTGCCCTGCCCCGTTCGCGTGTCTCTAGCTGCATCTGTATACTGTAGAGGTCCTGCTACCAAATGCCCGTTCTATGAATGTGGTTCCATAAGATTCTAGCAGATTGTTCTGATCAGTATGGTGTATGTGATAGTGCATAAAGTGTTTGTTTGGACCATTTCATCTCTTGGAGCTTCAGTCCAGTCCCTACTGGAACACCTGTCTCTCTCATGGACTTGCTGTTCGTAAGAAACTTTCCTGCTTTATTTGTTGGAATGACTTTGTCCCTAGATGCTATTTTGATGAAAAAAAAAGGGCCCGTGGATGGTGCAAACTTATGTAGTACTATTTGCATGAGAAAAAGAACCAACAAACATGCTGTTCATAGACATCAGCATCATTTCATTCTTGTAATTTGTGTTTCGGATCCTTATTAGGAACATATGTGTGCCCCTTCTGTTCTTCGTCTGTTTAGATGCATGTTTTCTTTGCGGAAAGTGAGCTCCTTTGTTCTTCCTCTGTTTAAGATGCATGTTTTCTTTGCGAAACGAAGCAGCTCTAGCAGAGCTAGAAACGGAAGCCGTAGCAGCATCGTCTTCCTTCTTCCAGACAGTGAGCTAGGAATTTTTAGTTGATCTACCCTTATGTTTGCTGCTGGGGTTTAGGTAACTGTGGCATTATATTAAGAGACATGAACCACTCCTCTCTTTTTCTGCATGTCACTGAAGGATTTCTCTTTTTCTTAGCGTGTCTGCTGCTCATGTTGCTGCCTGACTCTTAGCTGTTTGAATGTTATGATCAGGTTTCTGTTTCATCACCTGATACAAGATACAAGGAAAATTTCTATGCTCAAGCTCTGAAAAATTTCTATACAACTATGTACATGTATAATTTGTATGGTCACAGAATCTGCCTTCTCACATATCTGGGTACTCTCTCTGATCTGAATTAATTGACGCATCCTCTATACAATGTCCATTATACATAGAGGTTGCGTCATTTAATTTGGGACATTGTATAGAGGCTGCATCAATTAATTCGGATCGGAGGGAGTAATAAAGTTACTTAGATAATGGAATCTATGTACCAGGTTTTCATTAACGAGAAATTGGGTCTCTACTGATAGTGAAGTGCATACAGATGACTGATCTGCTGTAATATAACACACTAGCTGCCATATCAGTGTGATAAATTTGCTTATTTTTCCTTTGGTGTATTTGTTCGTGATAATTGCTCTGTAATCTATATACATGCTCTAATTTGCCCTCTTTCTTGCAGGACTTTCACTCAAGTCTCAGGATTTAACAGCACTGTTCCTGGCGGTTAGGTTGTACTGCAGCTTTGTTATGGAGTATGACATCCATACAATACTGGATTCAGCTACACTAGTAGCTACTCTTTTCGTCATTTACATGATTCGGTTCAGACTGAGGTCAACTTATATGTTGGACAAGGACAATTTTGCATTGTACTACGTGGTAAGAATTCAACTTCTAAACTATAAAACTGTGAGGATTTAGGTTGTTAGGCATTAGTTGATTATGGAGTCTTATTTCTTGTGTCACCTCTTCGACTTCAGTTTTCTCACTACTAGACATTAGTTGATTATATGGAGTCTTATTTCTTGTGTCACCTCCTCTTCGACTTCAGTTTTTCACTACTAGACATTAGTTGATTATGGAGTCTTACTTCTTGTGTCACCTCTTCGACTTCAGTTTTCTCACTACCAAGACCATTCCTGGTTGTATGTTGTACGTCCACAAGATGTCAGTATCACTTTTAGAAAGAGTTGTATCTTTGCCCCTTGTGATAGCTCGTTTTGCATGTTAATCTGTTTACCTTGTGAACTTCCTCTTATTGCCGCCAATACTAACTTATTAGACTTACTGTCCAGGTTGTACCATGTTGTGTGCTGGCATTTATTGCTCATCCTTCAACCTCACATGTCATGATCAATAGGATCTGCTGGGCCTTCTGTGTTTACTTGGAAGCTGTTTCAGTGCTGCCCCAGTTGCGCTTGATGCAAAATACAAAGGTAACTGTTAAAGTATACATCGGCCCTTGGATGCAGAATTGAACAGTCAAATTTATCTAACAGTTAAGATATGTTTTTGAGCAGATTGTTGAACCATTCACAGCTCATTATGTGTTTGCATTGGGTGTGGCAAGGTTCCTTAGCTGTGCACACTGGGTCCTTCAGGTTCTTTACCCTATCCTTTTCTTCTTTAAAGATACAATTTTAAAGCACCAATACGAACTTCTTAAAGGCCATCTATATGATTAAATATTCGAAAAGAGTGGTCCAATGTCCAGATACTTTTGGTGAACAAAGCAGAACAGTGAAAACATAGTTTTACTACACACATAAAATAAAATGGCACCTCTTGCTGCTGTTTACTGTTTACGCCATTAAGTAGAAGTTCACATAATCAAATATTTTTAATTGAGGTACATTTCCATTTGTTACCATCATCATCACCCATGTTCATGCCTGATTTAACATATCCTGGAAATCATAATTTTACCTAGTTGCATGTTGGGATGGTATCGGTATCTTCTCGGTGTCTGCACACTTAGCTGCATCATGACTGTGTGGGTCCATCTAAACCAAGTAATGGTACTTGTCTTTTTAGGTCTTGGATACTCGTGGCAGATTATTGACTGCTCTGGGCTATGGCTTTTGGCCATCGATGGTGCTCCTCTCTGAAATCGTCCAGACGTTCATCCTTGCAGATTTCTGCTACTACTATGTGAAGAGGTACATAATCTTAGCTTCTGCTATCACTTTGGCAAACCATTTAACATGTGATAACCGGTGACATGTTGCGGTGCAGTCTTGCTGGCGGACAACTAGTGCTGCGACTTCCTTCTGGGGTGGTGTAAAATCTGCAATATGATGCACAACTCATTTGTTCGGTGCTGTGTCTTACTGTTGAACAGTGGCTCTGCTTCTGGCGCCCAACCTTCTCTCTTCCCATGTGGGATGGATTCAAGAGTCTTGTTTGCCTTTTCTTTTTCCAGTTATAAACTGTTTGGTGAAAATTGTACCGGAGACTGTTGGTCGTGAAGCTTAGGCTGTTGAGAATACTATCTATAGCTGACTATTTATCCAGACTAGTTTTCAAGTACTTGCCTCCTTACATGCTCAGTCATCCCAGTTCCGGATTGGGGAGGCCATGAGATCCTCCATTTTCGATGGTCATGTTCTCTTTTCATTTGTGTTGATCTGGTGTTGTAGCTCTGAGCATTGGCCTGGCCAGGTTTCCAGCTTGAGCCAACATCTCCAGTTTTTGTATGGGCCTTGGATTCTGCTGAATTTGCAGTGCCGTCACGTCAACAAAACTGAATGAGAGTTGTTGTTCAGGCTATGGGCAGGTCATCGGCGGGATTCGGCTTGTTTCACTAAGAAAAGGTCTGGTTTTGTTTAGTTTTTTCTATTAGTGCAATTTTTCCTAGTTCAATCTTTTGTCAAAACTCCGCAGTTTCATCACTAACAGCTTCAATGATTCCAACATTTTTGGCAAGGTTTGGTGGTGGTCATCTTTTAGGGCATCTTTTATTACCCGCCATACATTATAAATCCCGTGGTATTAGAGTCTCTGCATGATATGCTCTTCCATTTTATTTATGAGATTAGAACGCCCAGCTGCTCCTGATAAAAATGCAAACTTGACCTCCCGTGCGCATCAGATGATGCAGTACGATTCGTCTCCCTGCTTACACTTGAGAGGATGGCGGAAAACCAGCCCATGCCAACACCTCGTCGAGAATATTTAAATCCATCGCGCAGCTGTGCAAGAAACCGACGAGATGGCACAGATATGTACTTGCAATGCAATCCAATGCTTTACTTGCCGTGAGCAGGACGGCTGCTTCTACCTTGCCGGCCGGCAAGTTTGAAGTCCACGAGACGGCAACCCTCATCTTGCGTTCCGTTTCAAACGTCTCACCACGATATGCATAGTCATTGACGGTGAGGATCTTAAGTTGTCATAGTCAATGATGATGGTCGAAAGTTCCAAGGAAAAAACTTCAAATTGGGACGGCGATCCTCTCGATACATGCATAGCCACGGACGGCTGTTGGCGAATCTATACGAAGTACGTAAAAACGATAGATGGCACTCCCTCCCTTGTTTACAAATATATAAGATATTTGGATATTTTATTATGAATTACGTATGGTCGGAAATGAGTAAAGAAGCACACTAAAACATGTCTGTATATGCATTCATTTAAAAAAAATCAGATCATTTTATATTTATGAAGGAATGAAGTATATATACCAGTAAAACTAATCAATGGCAGGAGTCAGGTTGGGCTTTCACACTCTCTTGACATTGGGCGCCTGGATCTTCTATGTCTAACCATCGTTCCCGTAGCTGCGACCAGGATCCGGAACCCCGTAGCGGCCTCCATCCACCCCACATGTTGCCCGAGCTCCACCTTCGGCTTCGGCGTCACCCCATCTCCCGGCAACTCCAGGCGCCTGCTACATTAACGCTCCGGCACTCCGGGACGAAGCTGAGTTTTTGTACTGGATGCGCCTTCACGCCAGCTGCCAGTTGCGTCAGTTATTCAACGCCCTCGCCAACGTCTCTGCCTCCACGTTCGCCGCGACTGTCCTGCTCACTCATGGTGGTCCGGCCCCGCCATTGGAGGATGATGTTGGGAAACGTAGCAAAAATTCAAAATTTTCTACTCATCACCAAGATCAATCTATGGAGATACTAGCAACGAGAGAGATGGGAGTGCATCTTCATATCCTTGAAGATCGCGATGCGGAAGCGTTACAAGAACACGGTCGGTGGAGTCGTTCACGAAACGATTCAAATCGCGACCGAATCCGATCTAAGCACCAAAGAACGGTGCCTCCGCGTTCAACACACGTGCAGCCCGGTGACGTCTCCCGTGCCTTGATCCAGCAAGGAGAGAGGGAGAGGTTGGGAAGATTCCGTCCAGCAGCAGCACAACGACGTGGTGGTGATGGAGGAGCGTGGCACTCCAGCAGGGCTTCGCTAAGCACTGCGAGAGATGAGGAGGGAGAGGGTAGGGCTGCGCCAGGAGAGAGGGAAACTCATGTTCTAGGCAGCCCCAAAAAACCCCACTATATATAGGGGAAGGGGAGGGGGGCCGGCCCCCTCCAGATCCCATCTAGAGGGGAGGGGCGGCGGCCAGGAGGGGAGGCTTGCCCCCAAGCAAGGTGGAGGCGCCCCCCTCCCCTAGGGTTTTCAACCCTAGGCGCCTTGGGCCCTTGGGGAGGGGCGCACCAGCCCACTAGGGGCTGGTTCCCTCCCATATTCAGCCCATCAAGCCCCCCGGGGCAGGTGGCCCCACCCGGTGGTCCCGGTACAATATCGATAACCCCCGAACTATTTCGGTGACTGAAACTGGACTTCCCATATATAAATCTTTACCTCGGGACCATTCCGGAACTCCTCGTGACGTCCGGGATCTCATCCGGGACTCCGAACAACATTCGGTAACCACATACAAACTTCCTTTATAACCCTAGCGTCATCAAACCTTAAGTGTGTAGACCCTACGGGTTCGGGAATCATGCAGACATGACCGAGACAGCTCTCTGGCCAATAACCAACAGCGGGATCTGGATACCCATGTTGGCTCCCACATGTTCCACGATGATCTCATCGGATGAACCACGATGTCAAGGATTCAAGCAATCCCGTATACAATTCCCTTTGTCAATCGGTATGTTACTTGCCCGAGATTCGATCGTCGGTATCCCAATACCTCGTTCAATCTCGTTACCGGCAAGTCACTTTACTCGTTCCGTAATGCATGATCCCGTGACTAACTACTTAGTCACATTGAGCTCATTATGATGATGCATTACCGAGTGGGCCCAGAGATACCTCTCCGTCATACGGAATGACAAATCCCAGCCTCGATTCGTGCCAACCCAATAGACACTTTCGGAGATACCTGTAGTGCACCTTTATAGCCACCTAGTTACGTTGTGACGTTTGGTACACCCAAAGCACTCCTACGGTATCCGGGAGTTACACAATCTCATGGTCTAAGGAAATGATACTTCACATTAGAAAAGCTCTTAGCAAATGAACTACACGATCTTGTGCTATGCTTAGGATTGGGTCTTGTCCATCACATCATTCTCCTAATGATGTGATCCCATTATCAATGACATCCAATGTCCATGGTCAGGAAACCATAACCATCTATTGATCAACGAGCTAGTCAATTAGAGGCTCACCAGGGACATGTTGTGGTCTATGTATTCACACATGTATTACGGTTTCCAGCTAATACAATTATAGCATGAACAATAGACAATTATCATGAACAAGGAAATACAATGATAACCATTTTATTATTGCCTCTAGGGTATATTTCCAACAGTCTCCCACTTGCACTAGAGTCAATAATCTAGTTCACATCACTATGTGATTGTAATGAATCCAACACCCATTGGGTTTGATCATATCTCGCTTGTGAGAGAGGTTATTAGTCAATGGGTCTGAATCTTTCAGATCCGTGTGTGCTTTACAAATCTCTATGTCATCTCCTAGATGCAGCTACCACGCGCTATTCGGAACTATTCCAAATAACTGCTCTACTATACGAATCCAGTTTACTACTCAGAGTCATCCGGATTAGTGTCAAAGTTTGCATCGGCGTAACCCTTTACGACAAACTCTTTTACCACCTCCATTATCGAGAAAATTCCTTAGTCCACTAGTTACTAAGGATAACCTTGATCGTTGTGCTGTGATCCATTCCTGGATCACACTTGTACCCCCTGACTGACTCATGGCAAGGCACACTTCAGGTGCGGTACACAACATAGCATATTGTGGAGCCTACATCTAAAGCATAGGGGACGACCTTCGTCCTTTCTCTCTCTTCTGCCGTGGTCAGGTCTTGAGTCTTACTCAATACTCACACCTTACAGCCAAGAACTCCTTCTTTGCTGATCTATTTTGAACTCCTTGAAAATCTTCTCACGGTATGTGTTCATTTGAAAGTAATATTAAGCATTTTGATCTATCTTATAGATCTTGATGCTCATTGTTCAAGTAGCCTAATCCAGGTTTTCCATTGAAAAACACTTTTCAAATAACCCTATATGCTTTCTAGAAATTCTACAGCATTTCTGATCAACAATATGTTAACAACATATACTCATCAGAAATGATATAGTGCTCCCACTCACTTCTTTGGAAATACAAGTTTCTCATAAACTTTGTATAAACCCAAAATCTTTGATCATCTCATCAAAGCGTGTATTCCAACTCCGAGATGCTCACTCCAGTCCTTAGAAGGATTACTGGAGCTTTGCATACTTGTTAGCATCTTTCATGATTGACAAAACCTTCTGGTTGTATCACATACAACCTTTCCTCAAGAAAATCATCGAGGAAACAATGTTTTGACATCTTATCTACAACATTTCATAAATAATGCAGTAACTGCTAATATAATTCCAACAGACTCTTAGCATCGCTACGAGTGAGAAAGTCTCATCGTAGTCAACTCCTTGAACTTGTCGGAAATCATCCTAGCGACAATTCGAGCTTTCTTAATGGTGACACTTACCATCATTGTCTGTCTTCCTTTTAAAATCCATCTGTACTCAACAACCTTACGACCATCGAGTAGTTCTTCCAAAGTCTATACTTTGTTTTTATACATGGATCCTCTCTTAGATTTTATGGCCTCGAGCCATTTGTCAGAATCCGGGCCCACTGTCGCTTCTCCATAGCTCGTAGGTTCATTGTTGTCTAGCAACATGACCTCTAAGACAGGATTACGTACCACTCTGAAGTAGTACGCATCCTTGTCGACCTACGAGGTTTGGTAGTGACTTGATCTGAAGTTTCATGATCACTATCATCAGCTTCC